GAATGAGATGTTCATTCGATTTTGTACATCATTCTGCATCGATTGATGTGCAAATTATACCCCGAAAAACGAATGTGTAAGAGCTGTAAGGTGGTTTATAGGCTGATCGATATGCTCGGGGGAGGGGGGGGGGGCGCGGGTTCGTCAGTGTTAGCTATTTTTCGGCACTATAGATCATGTGCCAGAAGAATTAAGTGTTCATTCGATAGCGGACATAGTTCTGCATGGATTGATGTGTTATATTCTCTCCAACAAATGAATTGATGGCAGCTGTCAATAATTGTACACGTGGATTGACATAACAGTTGGAACTTCGGCGTAGTTGTAGTTTTTTTTGATACTGCGGACTTGTTACTGAAAGAGAAGCATTTAGTTTAAGGATAGAGAATCGAATGTTTCATAGAATGATGTATTGTACATACCTAGACAATGCAAGTGGGAGATCGATCTAAAGGTATTTTCGAAAGTTGCCGTCAGAGTGGATTTCATTGGTAGTCTTACGCCGGACTTTTTGCATTTCCAATGAAGTTTTGGGTGAGATGATATTTGATTCGAAAGATTTTGTACTTTGACGCTTAGACTTTTCTGTATGAGTTAGAAATTGTTTGGACGGTTTGAGGTAAAATATAGAATGATTCTGATTGGAAGTTGATAGCTATTCGTTGATTAGTCCTCGTGATAGCTTCACATTGATCATTTATTATAAACTGTATAATTTATTTTTTTCTAATATAAAAGGTAAAGACCAAAAGTTTAGTTTCTAATTCTAGTTCTGTTAAAGCAACAATTAAGAAATGTCCTATGAGACGAAATTTGCATACTGAACTTGTAGAGAGTTTAGTCTTTTGAGACTCAGAAAGTATTTGAAAAATGCCTTTTGTTTTAACGGATGCCTACATAGTACTAGCTAATATTGAAACAAGTACCATTCTACTATCTGATTCATATTCTAAGTGCGTAAGACTGTGTCTGGCAATACATTTTACTTCTTTCTCATTCAGTTACTGATCAATCTAGGTCTGGCGCTAACCAATACAAGAGAAGCTAGGCTATCTATCCCTTACATTATAGTTGGAAAAGTATATTGTCTTCAAAGCGGATTAAGCTCATCTTTAAAACCAATGCTGTATCCAAGGAGAAAAGCAACTGGATTTTTTCATCAACTTTGTAAAAAGATGCAGTAATATCGACTCTAGATAGTGCTGAAAACTTTAGTTATTTTTCTCTTTTTGTTTTAAAGTTATTCAAAAAATGCCCAGTGCCTATTTAACTCTGGAATGGACGTTAGCACCAGTAATGATCGTTTATCTCTGCTAAGAAGGCCTGGAAAACTGAGCTATTCTAGGGTCTTTAGTAAGTTATCAAGCTTTATCTAATAACGATTGAATAGTTGGGGACGTTTCCTCTTCAGTTGCTATAATGTGTTTATTCGTGGCTCAATTTTAGTGTAACGTAGGCAACGGAAAGAAAACGTCATAGTTACACCATTTTCAAGCTCACAACGATCATGAGTAGTATCCAGCTCATCTTTGTGGTCACGTATCTGCGTGTTAAGCAGTCCAGATGAGAGCAAACAGTTGTAAATATCAATGATCCCGCCATGCATACCTAATGAGAGTTTATTTTTCAATTCCTATTCATCGATGGAAAATACGCGTTACTGATGGTTAGCGATGTAAGTCGATGCTGACATCCAGTCTTCTCGAGGAGTTTCCAGTCGCCGCCGATACCACTAAAAAGACTTGGCTGAATACATAAGCTACCCTAATCCATATGTTGATACTCTAAATTTAAAAAGTTTTTTTGTTAAATATGCTAATTGTAACTGTCGTTGCTTGACTTCTTCGCGGTAATGTCTGTTTAGAATTTTTCTATTTTTTCTGCTTTTTTCCAGTTTTTTGATCTTTTCATTTTTGTTAGCGCTGATAATTTCCAATCGCTGATATTTAAAATTGGAAACACCTTTAGTTGTCGATGTTGAAACTCAAATGAAATTGAAAATATCTCCAGCCACCATCACTAAGAACTTCTGACATTACTAGCTGCTGTGGCCAACAATCAAAAAGTTAAATCTTTTTCAGCTGCAATCGATCGTTAGATCAGCTTGCACCTTCACTCTCATGGTTGGTTATAATTAAAATTCTGTTGTTGAGTGAGATTATCAAGCGAATAAATGAATGTAGCCCTAAAAATAAGAGTAAACCGTTGATGATTGTTTTCATCTATTACTGCACAAAGTTTGAGGGACATTATAAGATCCGCAAACATCAATGTTTTTTTTACCATTCATTTCAAAGTATAATTGATTTCGCTGTATTGAGAAAAACTCGGAAATGAAAGCAGCTCAGCTATTAGTGTGGTAACCTGCAGTTGCATTTTTCGACAGTAGGCACCTGAATGTAGAAAGTCGATCGAATGAATCAAATAATGCTAGAATGACAAGCAACTTCTCTCATCTCGTTTGAAATTCACTTTGTCTTTTACTATGGCATTTAAATGAATGCAATAGAGAAACAGTTTATTGATTCAGCAATGCTACTAAGCACCATACCATATACTGACAGAATACTCGACGTACGAAGCATTCAAACGAACAAACAAACGGGTGTCCCAGAAAAAATGGCCCTTTCAGTATTTTACTGACATCTTCATCAATTCTTATTCTTTCAGGCTTAATTTTTTTTTAAAGATTCCTCTTGTTATCCTCTACAAGTATCTATAATTCGTATTTCATTCAAACGTATATTACCTTTGTTATAAGATGAAAAGTAAAGATCTTTAAAAACTAGTTTTTTGTAAATATGAAGATGGTGATGATCCCATCAAGATCTTTCGTGATCTGAATGGTTTCGTGGGATTACGTACTATAAAAAGATGGCGCAAGATGATTCGTGATACCGGTTCTATTCAGTTATCAACATCGCCGGGGGCTCCTCGTCTTGCTCGAACGAGTAAAACGATTCGAAAAGTCAAGCACAAACTCGACCAAAACAAATTGGTATCTGCACAAATTTTGGCTATAGACTACAACATATCCAAATCAAGTGCTCATTGAATATTAAAAGAAGATTTGAAACTTCATGCCTACAAAATGAAAGTCGAACCAAAACTCACCAACGAATACACAAACAAACGAAAGAAATTCGCAAATTGGGTCTTCAAGAATTTTCGAAAAGAAGACACGATGCGAATTTTATTTTTAGATGAAAAAATGTTCGATGCCGACGGCATATATAATTTCCAGAACCAACGTATTTGGGCATCAGTCGTGCTGAAGCAAACGGAAAAGGTAGTATAAAAATGAAACAAAAGTTTCCTAAAAAGGTTATGGTCTGACTGGGTGCTTGCTGCAAAGGAGTAACACCCTTGTTTATTGTCCACCAAGGAACAGTAGATCATGAAAAATATATCCAGAATGTTCTACCAATAGCACTAAAATATGGAAATAAAATCTTTGGAGAACATTGGACATTTCAACAGGACGATGCGAAACCTTACGTCGATCACCTAACACAAAAACAGTGTCCGGAAAATTTTTCATCGTTCATAGATAAAGATCATTGGCCACCGAATAGTCCAGATTTAAATCCATTGGACTATTCTATACGGAACGAATTTGTACGATCCATCAACTGGGACATCATAACATCAAAAGACACACTCATCAAAGAACCGAAATGTGCAATCAAAAAATCTCGACAACATGTTGTTTTACAAAGTTGTTCATCGTGGACTGTTCGTTTAGAGCGTGTCTTAAAAAATTATGGACGTTATTTACATAAATAAAAACTACACTAATTTGTAGAGCATCTGAAGACGAATCTTTCTAAAAAAATAAAGCCCAAACAAATGAGAATTGATGAAGATATCAGCAAAATACTAAAAGGGCCATTATTTCTGGGACACCCGTTAGATGTAACTTGACAGTCATAATGATTTTCGTGATAAATTAGAGAGAAGATATATTAATCGCTATATTTTTCATCTGGGTGTGGATGCACTTATTGAGGTACGTGCGAGTGGAGGTGCATTCTAGAGAATCCATACTGGCAGAAATCCGAAAAATAAAGCTTCCGAACATTCGTATGACGAGAGAATTTTGAGCACGATTACAGAACTTTTTTAGAGTTTTTCAAGTTGAAAAAAAATATCTGAAGCTCTACAAACTCTTAAGGCGTTTCAGTTAGTTAAATTTTCGATAATCTTGAAGAGTTTCTAAAAAATAAGAGACTTGTTTGCGAAAGTTGAAAATCCTTCGTGATTTCTGAATATATTACTATTTGAAACACTTTAAGAGTTTCTGAAACTCCGGTTACCTAATTATTTTCAACTTGGAAAAACTCTTAAAAAATTTCCAAAATGGTGTCAGAAACCTTTCAGGAATAAACATGTTCAGAAACCATTTTTGGTGGTTTTTCATAATATAGTTTTTTAAAGTGTGTGAGTACGAGTGTATGCGTGTGCATGGATCTTATTTTCATCCACACATCCACCCACATTCACATCCGTATCCACACAAATTACTGCACACCCATACTCTAACAGAGCATTGTCCCCACATTTATGATCTAATTTCAATGAAGTTGTTCTATTACATGTGACTTGCTCTGTACTTGAGATAAACTTTGGTGTTCAGTATCCCAATGAATGAACATTTATGAAGTATATCTATTTGGTCGTATTTCATTCTCTGCACCTGTTCTTTTTTCTATTTCTTTCTCATCCATTCAGTTGATTTAGTACAAAGCATTTTCTGTTGCGTATTACACACATGTTGTGCACTTGAAAATAAAACTTTTCAAAATTGTTGAAAAAAAGATTGCATTTATATTTCTCAATGGCAACAAGGCCACCCGATGCAGCGCAATTTATTTGCTTCTGTTTCTTTGAGAGATGCGATAAAAGCAGTATTGCTTCCATTTCATTCTATTCTCTCTACTCTCGCTCTCTACCAGTCACATTCGTTGTCATTGAAGTCAGCCAAAACAAATATTAGAAACATGGGCAACTGCGGAGGAAGTCTTCCAAAGGAACATGGATCTAACCCAAATCATCCACATGGAGGTCCACCTGGTCAACGACGTAAGCATTCTCATGATGGTGGACAACGTGGTAGTGTTGACAGTCATGGAAGAGGTGGTGAACATGGACAAGGACACGGGCATGGAAACAAAAAACATTGATAAAAACAATTCTTTTTTCTAAATTAACATTAACATTGGAGTTTTCTTTTGAATGAATATAATTTGAAGACGATTTCCCTGCTTTGAAATTTCTCCTGAATAACTCAACTAAAAAATCCTTAAAATTTACTAGTAAATCTATTTAAATGAGTAGACTAACGATTATCATGGAGTCAATATTTCTGGATGCTTTCTTCGACGTGATATAAGAAACGCAACGAACGAACCTGGAATAGTCTCCGTTCTCTCACGTAAAGCATATTTTCCGGTTAAAAGAAACCCTCTTCCTCCGCCAAAGACAAACAAAACATAGCAATTCCTGCGCAAGATAGTGCGGCTATGGATGGGTGCGTAGATGAGGATCTTTTCTACGCCCACCTAACCACCAACACACACACCTATCGTTCGTTATAATGTTCTATTTGTGTAAAAATATTGTTTATATTAGTAAATTGATCTGAGAAACTTAGTGAAGATTGTATGATTGATAGCATTAACATTTGATCTTCAGTAAATTTGTCATCGATTCTGTATTGTTTTGCATTTTTTTACTTGAGGACGGATTTGTCAGTTTGAAAAGAAAGACATCAAGTTAAAATTCTTCCAAAACTCTCTACCTTATTTTCTTGTTTGTCTAAATTATTGTCAAACATTCAAACAAATATCGTTTACATGCTTATACAAATCCAAAACAATGTTTCTTTCAGAGATATTCAATTCTTAAAAAAAAACATACGATTCTCCGATGTTTTTGTGGAATATGAATGATTTTTGGAAACTGAGTATCTCTGAACGAAACGTTCCTTTAAATTGGAACCTCTCAGAAATTCTAGTTACATGATAGCAACTGAGGACAACAAGCATGAGACTTCTTTGCCAGTCCTCCTTAACAAAGAAAAAAGGCGCTTAACGGCATTAATGACAAGGCTTAGACTGTTCTAGTAAATTCTAGAAGATCCGAAAGTCTTCCTCGAGATTTGAACGTCTGAAATATGTCTGTGAATGTTTTACATAGTGCATTTTTTGATTTTTGCATAGAGAAAAACTTATATTCGAAATGCAGAAATAGACTAGACAGATTGTTTCTCTGGCGATTGATTTTCCTTGAAAAGCAGCTATAATCTACGAGAGATATTTCGTCTTACGTATGTTGTATTAGTATAAAGCGACTGAAGAACACGTATAAGTTCTACATTTTGATCCTAAAAGGACTGTACTGACGAGCTTTTTGTTCGATAAATATGAACAAGTCGCTGTTTTATTATGTTTAGTATGAATCGATTACTTCAACAAAATGGCATCGAATTAACAAGCCTATTTGACTTGCTTCTTTTGGAAAATCTCATCAATACCACCTCACCTTGAGATGAGATTTTCTAAGCGCATTGTCCTTTATTAAAACAGCATCGAATGTCATTTCTTACTCATCCCAGCTATTAAGATAAACATTGAAGTTAGTCTTTTTTCTAGCCGCTTTTCGAAATTTCTCTTTGCCGCTTCGGGACAGACTGCAGTCATAGATGGAAAGTTCATTGAGCGACCGATTATGTTCGATCGCCTCTTGAAGAGCATCCACGCTTGAATCAGTAATTCTCTTGTTTTTCGAAAGATCCAAACATTCGATCGTATTATTATACTTCTTTAGAGAATTGGCCAATTGTCGAACTCCGAGATCGCTTATTTCATTCTTGCTCAAGCAAAGAACGGTCAATGTCGTATTTTTTTTTAGCATTTCTGACAGATGTTCGGCGCCAAAATCGGTAATTCCAGTTTCTTGTAAATTAAGGATCTTCAAGGCGCTATTGTTCAGGGCGAGTGCTTTTGCGAGAGATTTGACTCCTTTATCAGACAAACGGTTGCCATAAAGATACAATCTCTCTAATGTACTGTTGTTTGGTAATGCCGCGGCCAGGGTCACAGCCCCAAAAAAAGTGATTTTGTTTCCAGGCAACCAGAGATTAGTACACTGTTTTTTGATGATCACATCTTGAACAATAGCGCACATGTCGCGATCCATCAATTCTTGATGTCCCAAATCGATCATCGACTGTATTTGTGATGTGGCAATGATTTGTTCCACTCGTGAGTTCAATTTATGTTTGAATCCTATGAGAAATAAACAATAATTAATCTATCATCTGAAAGAAACTATTCAAGAAAATGCATTCAAGATAAGAGCGGACACATTGACATCAATGAAAAAGAACATCTAAATTCCATGAAACCTGAAAGAAAGAGTCTCTTGTTGCTTCATTCAATCACTTCTCTACTCTGTAGCTGCAGTTTCTCATAGTGAAAAGAGAAACGAAGAAACAATGCTAGAGTTCTTTGTCGCAAAGTTGTAACCGATAACGGCAAACGATCAGTCCGGTAGAGATAACGTTTTCTTTAACAGTTAGTCTAAATCTATTTGTTGAACTTTTGCATGTTTTCTTCAAAAATTTGACCATAAATGTGTTTTTTTTTTATTGCAGATCAATCAATTCTCACTGTCCTAGAATGTTGTTTCTATGAAGAGATACACATCAGACTACTGTATTCGATGAAAATTCATCCTATAATACTTGATAAATCTTATTAACTAATATTGATATCCAATAATGTTATCGAAACAATATCAAATAATTTGCATTATCTACTGTTTATGGCACACAATTTGCACAGACGTATGGAATAAGAAACGTAATATCATGTGGGAAACAGATTAAGTATACAATTAATTATACCCATATGTGATGATCCTTTAATCACTGCACAAAACTTATGAAACAGTCCATTTAAGCCACGACTGATTCTTCTCAAATAGATATCCTAAACTTTTACCTACGTCATCAATAAGTCCCTAGTCAGTCGTATTTGGAAAAATATTTGAGCTATATCTTGAAAACTGTTCGAAAGATCCTAATATTTCGATACAGAGATTTCTAATGAGACTAAAAATTTGTATCTTTACCTAAAACTACATGTGTTATCAGGTGGGGTGAATTTGATGATAATCTACGATGGTGACTAAGTACCCATAAATGGTGTTAAGGTGCGGCTCACATGGAATCGCTTCCACAATAGTTGTCAAAAGTTCTGCTACAAAGAAAAATTTATCTAAAAGTGAATCTTTTAATCTCATATCTTGGCTACAGGTAGACAGTGATAAACTCATTGCAAGCAGTAATCAGGATATGATCGATTATTAAGCGAAGGAACTAGAAATTAGACACAGATTTTTAGTCTGACGAAGATATTTCAGCCTTAGCAATGTATCTCATAGCGTTTGACTTCTCATTTGAGAGCTCAGTACTGCTTCTATTGCCGATAAAAATTTTGTGTGAAACAATTGTAGTTCACCCTATTTATGGAGTTATCTAGGAGTATTCTCACTATAACAGTTGATAAGATTCGTCAAAGGTAATCTGTAATTGCAACAAAGTTCAACCACTTTCCTTTAAGTTTTCTTCTGCGAGTTCTCTGGTCTAATTCAATACCTCTGAAACTTTCATAATTATAGCAATTGGTGAAGTGAAGACCGGCGCAAAGACCTTTCCAAATAATGAAAACATCGCTGATCTTCGGAGTCACACCAAATTGATGTCTTCTATCTATGTCACAATATAGACGTTTGAAGCTTTACTTGTCAATAAAATGATGTATATTAACGTTTCACAATAATGGCAAATCAGAAGTGTCAAACGAGCCTTTTTAGGGATGCAATGAGAAATAAAGCATTTTTATTCTAAATCGAAAGCATCAAGACCGATCGATATTAGGTTAGCGTTTGCGATCAAGGTTTCTCGAACTCTATTGGTACGAAAAAATACCAATCAAAAAAATTTTAATTTACGTATTTTTTACCTGGCAGCAGAACTTGTAGTGACTATGTGTAAAGTGTCTGCAGTCCTATGAAGTTTTCTTTTCACCGATAGAAACCAACAGAAAGAAAATGTA